CCTGGGGCATATGGCATCCGCAGCCGCCGTCACGCCGCTCGGGTTGCTCCATATGAGACCACTTCAGCACTGGCTTCACGATCGGGTCCCCAGACGCGCATGGCACGCGGGCACACACCGGGTCTCGGTTACTGCGCTGTGTCGCCGCGCCCTCAGCCCTTGGAACGACCCCTCGTTCCTACAGGCCGGTGTGCCTCTAGGACAGGCGTCCAGCCATGTTGTTGTTTCAACAGACGCTTCTAACACGGGTTGGGGGGCCGTGTGTCGCGGGCATGCGGCTGCGGGCCTCTGGAAGGGTGCCCAGCTGCATTGGCATATCAATCGCCTAGAGCTGTTGGCAGTGTTCCTCGCTCTCCACCGCTTTTTACCGGTGCTGGAGCGGCAACACGTGCTGGTCAGGACGGACAGTACGGCGGCGGCGGCGTATATCAACCGCATGGGGGGTATGCGCTCTCGCCGCATGTCTCAGCTCGCCCGCCGTCTGCTCCTCTGGAGTCACCCGCGGCTGAAATCGCTGCGCGCCATTCACGTCCCAGGCACGCTCAATCGTGCAGCCGATGCGCTCTCACGACAGCTGTTACGCCCTGGAGAATGGAGACTCCACCCCGAGTCTGTTCAGCTGATATGGGCGCGATTCGGGGAGGCCCAGATCGATCTGTTTGCTTCCCCCGAGAACGCTCACTGCCAGTTGTTTTTTTCCTTGACCGAGGGCTCTCTCGGCACGGATGCACTGGCCCACAGCTGGCCTCGGGGCATGCGCAAGTATGCGTTTCCCCCAGTGAGCCTGCTCGCGCAGTTTCTGTGCAAGGTCAGGGAGGACGAGGAACAGGTTCTGCTAGTTGCGCCCCTTTGGCCCAACCGGACCTGGATATCAGAGCTCTCACTCCTTGCGACGGCCCTCCCCTGGCGGATCCCTTTGAGAGAGGACCTACTCTCTCAGGGACAGGGCACCATCTGGCACCCTCGCCCCGATCTTTGGAACCTCCACGTGTGGTCCCTAGACGCGAGGAAGACTTAGGTAACCTACCGACTGCGGTGGTTAATACCATCACTCAGGCTAGAGCCCCCTCCACGAGGCGCGCCTACGCCCTGAAGTGGAGTCTATTCACTGAATGGTGCGTCTCTCGCAGAGAAGACCCCCGAAATTGCCAGATTAGTGTTGTGCTCTCTTTCCTTCAAGAGAAGTTGGACAGCAGGCTGTCGCCCTCCACTCTCAAGGTTTACGTGGCCGCCATCTCCGCTTATCATAGCGCGGTAGCTGGCGGCACCGTGGGAAAGCATAACCTGGTCATCCAGTTCCTTAGGGGTGCTAGGCGAATTAATCCATCTCGCCCCCCTCTCATGCCCTCTTGGGATCTCGCCCTCGTTCTCACGAGTCTGCGATCCGATCCCTTTGAGCCACTCGAATCAGTATCTCTAAGATTTCTGTCCCTGAAGACAGCTCTGCTGGTTGCGTTGGCCTCCATCAAGAGGGTCGGGGACCTGGAGGCATTTTCAGTCAGTGACTCGTGCCTGGAATTCGGGCCGGATTACTCTCACGTTATCCTGAGACCCCGCCCCGGTTATGTGCCCAAGGTTCCTACCACCCCCTTTAGAGATCAGGTAGTGAACCTGCAAGCGCTGCCCCCGGAGGAGGCAGACCCAGCCCTTTCTTTACTTTGTCCAGTTCGCGCTCTGCGCATTTATGTGGACCGTACTCAGAATTTTAGATCATCTGAGCAGCTCTTTGTCTGTTATGGCGGTCGGCAGCAGGGAAGTGCCGTATCGAAACAAAGATTATCCCACTGGATTGTGGATGCCATTTCACTCGCTTATTCGAGTCGAGGTCAGCCGTGTCCCCCGGGAGTACGTGCACACTCCACTCGGAGCGTTGCATCCTCTTGGGCGCGTGCATGCGGCGCCTCTCTAACAGACATCTGTAGAGCTGCGGGCTGGGCGACACCCAACACATTTGCAAGGTTTTACAATCTGCGAGTGGAGCCGGTTTCCTCAAGGGTATTAGGTAACCCTTTGGTGATTGAGGAGACAACTCGGTAGGGTGTTGAAACACGCTTGCTGCGCCATTCTCCCTAACACGGAGGTACGTGCGCCTTTTTTATCTGTCAGTAAAGTTCCCCGTCAGGTGAGCCCTGCAGATTCCTCCGTGGCCCCCAGCACTGACTCAGCGGAGGAGTCACTTGCTGGCCCACTACGTTGTAGGTCTGCCCGCTGGTCAGCCCGCGTTTTGGGTATAGGTGCCTGCTATGCGTGATCCCCACTAGGCGATCCCATATGCTTATTCCGCCACGGTTAAGTCCCCCCCCTGGGCGGACCCGTGTCTTCCCTCTCCGCTAACCACTCTTTGCTATGCGTACTCCCCCTTTTTAGGGCTAGTCCATAGGTAAATTCTGCCATCTATCCCCCCCTTGGGTAACGGATGGCCTCCGCAGCGTCCTCCCTATCGGGATTGCACGCTTCCCAACGTACTGTCGTATTTCCTAGAATTATCTAGATGCTCACGACTTCCCAAAAAATATATCTAATCCGTAAAACTTCTGTTGAAGTAGGATAAATTAGGGCCAGGGACACGTTGGAGGACCGCGCCCCCCATGATGTGGGTGCGTCACGCTTGCTTGACTATCTCCTCATCGGGGGTGTTGGTAAGGTGCAGTCATTATGGCGCTTTCCATATTCTCCCATTCATGGCACTGAAGTTCCCCAACCGAAGGGGAACGTTCGAGGTTACAGAAGTAACCCTTCGTTTACCGAGGAGGGGAACGGAAGTGCCATATTCCGTCGCCATAATGACTGTCCCTTAGCTGTTTGAAAGTCTCTTCAGCTTAAAAGGATGGCGTCTGCTGGCTTCAGGTGTGCTTATATGCTGAGATAATTGCAGATGTCGCACACCTGCGCAAGCTTACGCTGCCAATTAATTTCATTCATTGGCCCGTTCAATACTCTCCAGATAAGCGGCTTCTGATCCGAATCCTCCCATTCATGGCACTTCCGTTCCCCTCCTCGGGGAACGAAGGGTTACTTCTGTAACCTCGAACGTTGTCATGGCAAAAACATATCAAACAATGTAATGTTTGCATTTAAAATGACATAACTGAGCTAATGACACTTAATGACAGTCATAGGCATGCATAAAATCTCATTCAGATGTCACGTCATGATTATAAAGGTGTCTATTGTTTTTTTGGAAACTAACATGATAATTTTTAGGATTTATTTAAAAAAAAATCTATCAGAAGTTCTTTAGAAGTTCAAAAGAACAAACCCTTTTTGAAAGAGAAATATTTAACAACCTTTTATCAATTAAACTTGCCAGTGATGAGTAAAAGTGCTCATTTCTTTTAATTAACAATAATAAAATCCTACTGACTCTAAGTTGTTCTCTATAGCAACAGTGTGCTCTCGTATATCTAACACAACCCATACTGTACATTCCTAGCATACATCTGATATTCTATATTCATAACATCATCACAAACAGCTCCATGCAGTGCCATTATGTAACCCTCACCTTAGCACTATTAGTCTCTTTGTCATCAAATCAGTACCAGAAAAAGAACCGTTTTAATGAGCAGAAAGAAACGGCTCTTCTTGCAAAGAGTACAAGATGGCCGCTTTAATAAATTCTGTCTCCATCTAAAGTTAAGTTACAAAGTGTGGCTCAGTGAAAACTCTAGCCTCAGCACAAATTCCATGTGAAGTCCGGAAGCTGCCGTGCATGGAATAGATTATCTGGACCGCTGTGATGCGATTGGCCACTGAGAGCTTAACTCCACCCCCCATCACAACTCTCACTTTATCACAAGGTGCAAGGGCTTCTGAACACACCGACAGTCTGCCTGTTTATTGATGTAGTCTTATTATTCTGTCTCATGCGATCACATTCCACCTCGCAGTATGTCGACTGAGAAAACTCAACCATATTTCATCATCCTCCTCACCATCATCATAAGTAGAAGTTTTCATTGGATTTCTTTGTGTTTTCCATCTCTTGTGTTTCTGTTTTATTTATGATGTTTATGAATCATTCATCAGCCTCATCTGTCTTTTTTCTTTGTTGTTTCCTTTTCCATTCTTTTTTTCCTGTTTTACATTTCAGCGTTCTGTTGAGGCATGGCTTGTTATGGATAGTCACTGGTAAGGGTCTCCGGCCAATCAGAGTGCCAGTTCTCTGAATGGTGCATTCTGATTGGAGTGTTTAGCTGTCTAGTTTCCTCCACTGTTTGATTGATTCTCTGAATGTTCAAATGATTTAAGTGATTCATCAATTCTCCAACGTGGCTGTTTGAAATGAACAATGTAATTATAATTCTTCATGAGTGCGTGTTCTCTTTCTGCATCAGTCCCGAGTTGGTGCAAAATCAATATTTCTGTCTGTCTGTCAGTCTTTCCATCTTAATTCGCCATTATTTATTTATTAGCATTATTGTCTCTGATGGAAACAATAATTCATGTTTGCTGTCTCTCTCTACATCGTCTGAAAAGTAGTTTGCCCCTGTCTGTCTGTCTGTCTTTCTGTATGTCTGCTGTCTGTCTCTCGCTTTCTCTTTCTCTCTCTCACTCATACTTTCTAATGATCTTGTTTCAGTGCCAAACATTAGGCTGTCACATTAGCTCGGTTCACAGTATAAATGGCTTCCAAGCTGATTATGTGTGAGTCTAAGTGTGTGTGTGTGTGTGGTGACCCCAAAGAGTAAATGACATCACTAAATGGGTGTGAGGCTCAGTGCTAAGTACAGACTAGTAGACATTATGGCTGGAGCCAGCTTGACATTTGACTGCTTTAGAATAATGCCTTTCTCCGAGACAGTTTATATTCTGATCCTACTATTGTTAAACTGAGGAAACAGATACTGAGCAGTAATATAACATTTGGTTATGCTCAGATATATAAACTGATATAGAAATATAAACAGTTTGAGGTCATGCATGTGACTGAGTGAGTGATTGAGTGAGAGTTTTGCTTTTGATCTGCTTGATTTGACCCCTCTCTCCGTCTCTCTCAGGTCCTGGGTTATAGGCGCTATTGCTCTGCTGTGTCTGCTGGGTTTGACCTGGGCATTCGGGCTCATGTATATCAATGAGAGCACTGTCATCATGGCCTACCTCTTCACTATCTTCAACTCGCTGCAGGGAATGTTCATCTTCATATTTCACTGCATCCTGCAGAAAAAGGTGACACACACATTCTTCAGTTAGCAGCACTTTTGACTATTGGGAGCATGAAAAATGAAACTTTATGCTGTTTTATATGCATTAAAACATCTATCAGCTCAGATCATGGCCTTCAACAACCTCGGATTGATATACTGTAGAGTGGATGTTTGAAGTTGTGGTTATGATGGAAATTCCATGTATTAAATTTTTTAGTGCAAGATAAGTTCACTAGCAAATTTTATTTAGACCTGCAAAAAAAAGATGTTAAAATACTGAATTTTCTGTCCATCGATGACTGAAGGTTTCTGAACAAACTGAAAGAAACATTTCAAAATTACAAAAACTTATGGTCTTACAACCTATTTTGTAGAAAAATGTCTCATGAAAGAGTGCTCGTTGTTTTGTCTAATTGTGTGGTCCAACAAGTATAGTAATACCAGTATTTTTTGATATTGTGGGGACATTTTTTTTTCATCCCACAAGGAAAAGAAGTCATAATCATACAAAATGCTAGGGATTTCGAGATCCGATTACGTGAACAGAAATCGGGCCCGATCAAGCAGTTTCAGACTTGATTAGAATCGGATATATATATATATATATATATATATATATATATATATATATATATATATATATATATGTATAGACATACTGTGAAAATTTCCTTGCTCTGTTAAACATCATTTGGAAAAATAATTAAAAAAGAAAAAAAATCTAAAGGGGGCTAATAATTCTGACTTCAACTGTGTGTTTGTGTGTGTGTGTGTTTGTGTGTGTGTGTGCGTGTGTGTGTGTGTGTGTGTGTGTGCGTGTGTGTGTGTATATCCAGCTGTGGCGGCAGGTTTTTTTTTTTTTTTTTTTTTACACAGATCTACCAACTACGTGTGGTGGTATTTCAATGACAAATGTTGTGAGCGCAGTATTAGAAGTCATTTATCGCATTTGTCGCATTTATGTAATAGCCTACGAGCATGCGAATCACTGTGCTTGTGCGCCGATTTTCTCTTTTCGTGCACAAAACTTCTTGCACGCCCCCTCAAATATAGGCCGCTTAAAGAGCGCGCAGATCTTTTCTGTGCGTTTTCAAACAAACGCCGCTGCGTGTGATTTAGTGCATTTATGTAACGAGTATGTCTCCAGCATTTATTAGATTTGCTAGGAATATTTATTAATGTCAACCTACAGAGTAGCATTAATTTGTCCTGAAGTAAAGTGAAATGGCTGTACGTCGTGTTTGCTGGCCTAACGCATCACACACCTTACTAGCCTGTCAGTCTTTCAGCACGTCACCTTAAAGGGTAAACAAATGACGCACAGCACTACTAAGGATACAGAAAAGTTTGCACTATTATAATTCACTTACCCTTCAATACGTTTTGGTGCGATTATTACCCGCTATTAAACAGATAAAATGTTTTGAATGAGAAGCTGTAATGTAGCCATGGTGGGATGAATTTTGGCCTGGCCAAAATGTATATATATGTGCGGTGGCACAGAGTTAGACCTCTGTCTTGACTTCACTCAAAGAAACAGCATTGTGTGCAGCATGACATCACTTTGTTGCAGACACTCTATTGGTTAAATGCCGGCAAAGTAGAACATGGAAGCAGCTTGAAGGTGAAAGTGCTAATATGTCTGCAGTCTGGAGGTATTATAAACTTGATGATGACAACATTGCCAGAGCAAACTGTGAGATATGTAAACTTGGCATTACAAGAGGTTAAAAGGAAAAGGCTACATTGAACACAATAAAACTGATAAGTCACCTCACCCAGGCAACCCAACCTAAGACGAGTCCACTCACGCTGCAGGAGAGTTTAAACAGGGGAGAAAAAATACACTGTGACAATGCGAAGGCCAGGACATTACAGCCAAGATGGCACAAATATTCGCAATGACCGACCTGCCATTCACCTTTGTAGAGTACCCTGGATTTCTTATGGGTGTATAGAGCATTAAATTTTTTTTTATGTATTATAGAAGTATCGGATCGTGTTTCAGTAACGGTACATATTCAAAATCAAGGGCTGGAGGGCAAAAAAACTTGATCAAGGGCCCTAGTCAAATGTTGTAGAAAAATGTCTCATTAAAGAGTCCTAGTTGTTTTGTCTGTTTGTGTGGTCCAACAACTATAGCAATAACAGTATTTTTTGACATTGGGGGGATGTTCTTTTTTATCCCACAAGGAAAACAACTCATTAATCATATAAAATGCACAATATTTCTTGTGAGGGGTGGAGTTAGGGTTTAGGGTTGGGGAACGAGGACAAAAAAATACAGTCTTTAAAATGAAAAAGAATTGCTGTAAAACATATCCTAACATGTGTGTGTGCATGCATAAAAAATGGTTTAACCAAATGTAAAACAAAGCAACAGCACATTGCAATGCATAATTGAAAATATGGGTAAAACACCTAAATCATTATAGTAAACTTATATAATACAGTGGGATTTTCTTTCAGATGTTTTACACAAAATAAGATATTTTGAAGAAAGATAAAAACCTGTAACTATTGACTTTTATACATTAGTAAGTAATACTACTGAATATAGTAGTCAATAGTTACAGGTTTCCAAAATCTTTCAAAATATCCTCTTTTGTTTTTAACAGAAGACATGTAAAGGGAGAGTAGATGATGACAGAATCCAAAAAAATGGGGTGAAATAATCCTTTGAAAATCTTCTTTCAAAACATTTAAAATCATACACGGGTATAGTATAAGTTCCTATGAAAAACTTTAAGTAGTACATTTCAGATTTTCAGAAATGAAATTAAAATCTTATTATAATGTGACTATGGGCCACAAAACACTGCATTATTGTGTTGCACAAGTATATTTTTGGCAATGGGTCAAAATTATAGATTTTTTTGGTCAAAAATCATTAGAATATATAGAAGATCATGTATCATAAAGATATTCCTACTATGTAAATATTTCCAACACATTTTTGATTAGTTTTAAGTTTCTAGATTCTCTTGAACCCTCAGATTTTCAAATAGTTATGTCTCGGCCAAATATTGTCTTAACAAACCACACATCGATTAAAAGCTTATTAATTCAGTCTCCATGTGATGAATAAATCTCTCTCTCTCTCTCTCTCTCTCTCTCTCTCTCTCTCTCTCTCCCTCTCTCTCTCTCTCTCTCTCTCTCTCTTTAAAACAATGACACTTATGAGTGGTTTTGTGGTCCGGGGTCACAAACGATTGTTTTTAAAATCCTCCTAGGTGACAGAAAAGTTCCCCTAGTTTGAAAAATCACCCATATATGTTATGCAAACATCTGCAGTATTTTTATCACGTGCACGCTCACATACTGAGGCTCGATTGACCTCTTTCCTGGGCATTTTACGGAGAGTTTACTGGCCTCTCATTAGTAACGATCTCATTAATCAACCCTTCTGTCACATGCATGCTCAATTAGAGACCCTCCGCTCATCAGATTTATTTAGCTCATGATGGATTTTAAACCTTTTAATTATCTGATGGCCAACCGGTGGATTGCTTCCAGAGACACTTAGCATCAAAATGCTCATATCCACATTACTCCAGTGCATCTTAGTTGTAAAAAGAAACAGATATTGATTAGAGCAGAAATAATATGTATATATATATGAATATTCCGATATATTACAAATGGACAGGATGATTGGGCTGTTGTGGAGTTTATGTATTCCGCTGCCCAACCTTGAAGCTGAATTGCCAATTTATCATGTTTCTTGCAGATGAAATAGATGTGCGTGCAAGCCTAAAGTGAATCATTTCATCCATTTTTAACTAATATATCGGACTGTCTACCTAATGGATCCTAACGCAATAAATAAATTCTCTCAAAACACCCGCAAGAAGCTGTTTTCACAAGACAAGGGACTGATCTAAGCTTATTTGGGTTTTGTGGAGACAGCAGTGATTTAAATCTAAAGCTGTAAGTCGTGTTTGGTTGAGGTCTTCGAGGAGTTGGGTGTGCAGTCATCCGTTGAGATGGAGGAATAAAAACGGTGAATTTTATTTGGCCGATCTTAGAGAGTTTTCTTTCAACAGCTGCGCAAACAATAACACGCCGTCCATGTTAACGACATTAAAAAGCAATTATAGCTGTATTATTGCTGATACAACGGGGAATTTTGTACTGATAATGGCCATTATGGTTATTATGTCTAGATTTTTGGATGGAGGAGTGCATGTTTTGGTCCTTGTTGTTTGAGAATGAAGGTGAAGGTTGTGATGTTGAATGTATTTGTGTGTTTTTCCTGATTGAGATTACAACATTTGGAAGGTCGTCCAGCATGCTAACTATTGAAGTCATGTAAATGATATGAAGTTTCCTGCCATGCACATGAAAGTTCACTTTGCTGTTCACAAGGACATTACACACATAGTAACCTGCAGAATCTCTGAGTTAACCAGTCGATAGAAAAAGAAAGTAATCTAATTACGAGAAATGCTGACTAACTAATCAAATTACAGTTAATCACAATATTTCATCAATACAAAAATCATTATTTGCTATATCCCCAAATGAAAGCTTATTAAAACTAGCGAGCAGAAAACAATGTATTCAGCGAAAATGTAGTTTTCAGATACAAATCATTGCTGTTTTTTACACACATGTTGATATGATCATTTATTATTCGTTTAATGATGTCATTGAGTTGTACTACTTGTTTTTTAAGAGCTAAACAAGAAATGGTCTAAAAGGAACATCAGATTCATTTTACTGTATTTATGCTGCACATTATATGTGGTTACTTTACTGTAAATCATGTATAATTACAAGTTACCACACTCAAAAAAGATGTTTGCTACTTATTTAAATTTAGTTGAAACAACACAATTCTTGAGTTTTTGCAAAGCTTAATGTTTTATGTCATCTACTTAAATGTGTAAAAAATAATTGAATCTAATTCCTTCATGCTTTCCTTCATGCAATTGATTGTGTGGATCCCAGCATTTTTTACAGTGTAATGCTAAACTAAATCTATTCCTAACCTTTAGAAATTACATAAATACTACTCGGTAAATGCAATGTACAATTATATAGTAACTAGGACACAAAAGAAATGACAAATTACATTAAATTTAGTTTTTTAAACAAAAATAACTTATTTTTCACAATAATTTGGCTTGTCAAAATAAAAAGCATTAAAGAGCCCCTATTATGCATTAAAAAAATGCCATATTTTGGTAATGGCGGTCTTCAACAAAAGGCTGATATGCATGCAAGGTCAAAAAACACTTTCATTATCTTTAATATGCATTTATTTTTATCCCAACGACTTCCATATAATTCGTTTAGTGATTCATTTGTTCCCAAACCCTTACTTGGCGCAATGATAATCTGCGCTGATTGGACCGATGACCCAGTCTGTTGCGATTGGTCAACTGTGTTCAGCGTGAGACAGAGAATCAGCTTATCAACAATTTTGAAGTAGTCATAGTGTATGTGTGAGCCCAATGCAGGAGTGCATTAACTTCCCACTTGTGTGGGAACAGCATGGTGGACATAGCAACAACAAACAGCAGAAAATCGCAAGCTCACAAACTCTTTTAAATTCGTAAACAAAGTGGTACACGTCGCGTTTACAACGTTGTTTTAGACGCAATATGAGAAAATAAAGTGTTTACCAGATACATACAGTACAAGCTGCATGGAGCGGTTACAAGTAACAAAACACTATTAAATATGTAATTTGCAAGCTAGAAAAAAAGAGAAGGCAACCATTTTAATCGCACCTACTTATTTGTGAAAAGGAGAATCTGGTCCTGGAGCTGTGTACTGTAAAGTTCCTGTCAAGCTCTGACAAAGTCCCATACATCAAAAGTCTATTCTGATCCTTCCTTTAAAAAAACAGCTGATGAATCCCCCACTGTAAGTGTGTAGATTGCTAAAGCACTCGTCAGAAAAGTGACAGGAACACAGCACAAGGCTGGGGTTATAATGCTTCAACCACTGACTCTTCACAGCCTCATCTTTGGGTAGATAAAGTAAAACAAATTTTCCCTCACACTTCAGAGCACAGCGTCTTCACAACATGATTCAACTGGGATCTGCTACAGTCTTTTTTTTTTTGCTACCGTATTTGTGGTCAGGGGGGTTAAATTTTCCCAGGACTACGTGTGCAACAAATGGACTGGGCTTAAGTTCTGTATCGACGTCTGCTGACATGCTGACTCGTTACAGCGTTGATTCATTCGAACTACAAGTCAACTTTTTTATAGATGATAAATTAAATAATAGTTTTAAACACAGCACACTTTCAGATTTAAGCCTTAGCTAGATATTTCACTTTACTTAGAGCTATGTTACACGCTTCATGGAAGATCATTTTCAAAAACCCATAATAGGGGCTCTTTAATACATGTGTGATTTCATTGGTGTCCCACCAATGGGTAATTATATTTAGTATTCAGTCCAATAATCCAGTAAACTTTCCGATTATTATGTAAAATGCATTCAAAACATTATCTGTTATCCTAAAACAGCACTATTGCAAAAAAAGCAAGCTGAGATCATCAATAATAACATAGACAGTGAATCACAGCCAGTTTTCAGTGAATTTGATTGATTAATCAGAAAGTCGAACATCTCTTTGCTGTATGAAACGAAATGAAACACAAACTATGCATTTTAGCAGGACAAAGCAAACCAGCGTCTGGCTACTAAAGTTTTGATGAATGAAGACTGTAATCAAGGTAATGACAATTGCAGCAATTTACAGTCGCAGGCATGCATGGGTGGTTATATTCATGCACATTGTATTTATTGTATTCACAGCCCCATTTCAACACATTAATGTTGTTTACATTCACGTTCTGGATAATGTTTTGAATTGTCATGTCTGCTGCTGTGTTTAGTCATTCTGAATAGATCTGTGTACAGTATATGCTGTCAAGGCTTTGGTTTAGAGCAGGGGTGCCCAAACCTTTTCTTATAAAGGGCCATAAACTTGATTGAGGGCTTTGGGCTGAAGTTAAATATACCAAACCGTATTACATTAGATTTGCTAATTTGTTTTGCATATTATTTAAAATGAACTAGAAAAGGTTGCTTTAAAACATATTGAATGATGATGCAGTATATTTTAAATGTTGTATAATCAACTTAATATAATAAAAACATCAACAATCCCATTTATAGCACAATGGAGCTCAATACTCTGTAGACTAGTCGAGTCGCTCCTGCCTTTGCCCTGATTTGCTCAACGGTGTCTTTTGCATTGTCCTCTATCTGTCAAGTGTCAGCAACCAAAGTGGGGCTAACCAAAGGTTACCATTGTCCAACTTTGGCCCGCAGGCTCTACTTTGTGCACCTCAGCTTTTGTGTGTCCTGAATATAGTTTAAAAAATAAAATGAATAAAAATAACATGAATTATGAAAAATTAAATGTGATTGACAGTTTTGTTCTGTGTTTTTTAGGGGTGCTTCGCTGTGCTTAAATGTAGGCTATGAATTAAATAGACTAATTTCCTGGTTATTACTTTATATGTCCTTTTGGAGTTCCTATGTGTCTTTTCTGGAATTTTTTGAACTGTTTTGTAAGAATCATAATAAATGTAAATAATGGTTTACTTTACTGGGTAGAAAGATAAATGTTATTATGCTTGATTTAAAGCAAAGTGTGACTAATTTAATCTGTTGACAGCCTAATATTATATTGACCGATGTTAGAAAAGATTAATAAAAGGGGTGGCTCACTCAAAATGTTTTCACTTTTTACTCGCACTCAAGGGGTTCTATTGTTGAATGAATTTCTGTTTTACAAAAAACAAAGTATTCTGAAGAATGTTGAGAAGAAATTCTGAAGAATTCACACTCATACTCTACAGCCAATTTAGCTTACTCAATTAATCTAGCATAGAGCACCTAGAGAAAACCCACAAGACCCCTGGGGGAACATGCAAACTCCACACAGAAATGCCAATTGACCCAGCCGTGACTCGAACCAGCAACTTTCTTGCTGTGAGGCAACAGTGCTAACCACTGAGCCACTGTGTTTCCCTCAGCCACTGACATCCATAATAAAAATAAACAAATATTACACTTTACTGTACTATGCTATAGTATAGATCATTTCAATGTGGTGATGTCATTGGCCCATGATCATTTCTTGCTTGTTGTTAAACTATTTCTTAACAGTAACTAGAGACAGTTCAATTGTAACTTGATTTTAAACAGCTTTCATAGCATTATTTATCAATAGGTGGACCTTTTGAATTCTCAGAAGCTATAGCAATTAAAAATTTAAGACAGGAGATATGTTAGGACATGTCAATGGCTGTTTTTTTTTCTAAAATTCTTCAATATATCTTTCTTTGTGTTCAACAAGAGAAAGAAACTCATAGATTTTGGAACAAATGGAGAATGAGTAAATTATGACAGAATCATTCCTATCCTTTGAAATACTGTAGCAAATTTATTAATCGTTAGTTAATATTAGTTTTATGGTAACTAAATGGACATTATATATTTTCCCAATGAAAATAAGCATACTATATGTGTGTTTGTGCAGGTGCGTAAGGAATATGGCCGATGTCTCCGCACACACTGCTGCAGTGGGAAGAGTGTGGAGTCAACCATCTCCACCTCAACAAAGACAAGCACAGCCCGCACACCTGGACGCTACTCCACCAACTCACAAGTAAACACACACACACACACACCTGCTGGGGATCCTCCAAAAACATCTCAAGAGATTTTTCTAGGCCAGTGACTGCTATAAGCTGCCACTGGTCAATGCAGTCACTGGATTGTTATTTCTTAAAGAAAGCACTTTAGCTCTGGCGTTTTCTTTTTCATGGCTGAATACAGTCCCACATGACCCACTTTCACATTCAGCCTTATTTTAAACGGTGCACTCAGCATTCAACTCATCACACTCATCCTGTTAGAAAGGTGGTCCATGCCATATTCCAATTAGCAGTTACCAGTGGTGCAAAAAGGGGGTATAGGCGGCGCATAGGGGTGCCACTCATGGGAGGGGGCGCCATTGTGCCAAAACTATTATTGAAATTTTCATTATTACAAGTTTCAAATAATAAACATAAATAAATTTATTTTATTTAAAATCTGTATTTTACATTTAATATGAGTATAATATTGTATTTCATTTAATAAAAAATATACTATGAGTTGCATACGTTGGCACACGTTTAAATTCAAAATCATTTAAAACAATAACATGCAGTCACACAGCTAAGTGTAAAGTGTTTATGTAGATGTGCTGTAACCGTTTAGATTTTTTACATTTTTATCAAAATAAACTGTTAAATCTTACATACAATACAGTTAAGGTCAAAAGTTATAAGATTAAACTAAAAAATATTCTTTATTTATTATTAATGAATGAATGATTTTTACCAAAATGAGAGGATCACGCAAAATGTATGTTTTTGTAAGGACAGACCTCAATATATTTCAGAAAAAATCAAAAATAATATTTGGATTAAAAATTCCCCTATATGAATTTGATCATAATGATTCTAAACCCTGTTAAATCTAACACATGAACAAATAGTCAGAATATTCACATTTTTTATACTGAAATGTTTATTAATCCTTCTTTCAAAATCTATTTTTATATCATATACATGTTTTTATAAATGTATTATGTATCATATTGATAAATCAGTCAATTTGGTAATTTTTTTGCTCAAAATTATTTTAATTTAGGTACGAAAAAAGTTTGCCCATAACATTTTGATAAAATAGAACATTTCAGGTAATTTTTCTTTGTTTATTTTTTGCACTAAACATTTTAGTATTTTTTCTTATTTCATTTGGTGAGAGGTGTAATAGCAGTTTCAGTCAATTGTTCATGTAAAGACAGATCTTCCACCTTGCATATGAGACTGTTTATGTTCTTTTGTCCTTTAGGACTCCCATATCTATCATTTTGTTTTCACAAACGTGCAAAAACTACAGAAGCAAAGGCTTGTCAATGTGCTATAATCCTTTAGTGAGGAAAATGAAATTGAAAAGAAGTTTGGGGTTAGATGAGGTGTAATTCTTGATGACTTAACATGCTTAGTGTAATTATACTTTAACTACATGGGCGCAAAACTTGAACCTGCATACCCCTCAATAAATGTGTAGTTGCGCCCCTGGTAGTTACACAATGCTGATAACTGTTGACAAAACGAAAACAAAACCAATGGGACATCTGTAATGTGTAAAATGCGTTTTCCGTCCAAACCTGCAGTAGAAGATTTCTGTTAGATAACACAGCTTTGTTGAGGAACTAAACGTAGACGTCCTCTCTTCATCTGTTGTCAGAGTCGTATTCGTAGGATGTGGAATGACACCGTCAGGAAGCAGTCAGAATCGTCTTTCATCACCGCTGATATGAACAGCTCAGCGACTCTCAATAGAGGTAAGGCCAACACACACACGCACACAAACATGCACCCGTGTGAACACATACACAGTATTCATATGCATGTCGTCACGCATAAACAAACAAACCCACACACAAATACTGTACATTGACAACAAGATGTTTGGATCTGATATGAGAAAAGTGGAACAGAAAGCTGTTCAGTTCCCATCTCCTAGTGGTTAAATTTTGAGCATCAACTGAGCCATGACACAGAAAAAGTGTTTCTTCAACCGTGGGCTTTTACAGGGTGTCTGCAGAGTCTTAAAATGTCTTAAATTTCAAAACCTAAATTTTAGGCTGTAAAAGTATTACATTTACTTTAATATTGTGTTGTAGGTCTTAAATAGTTTTAAACAGGTCTTAATTTCCCAATGTCCAGGTAAAGCTACCCAATTGGGCCAACGCTCAATCACCAATAATCCATCTCAAAAACCTTTTTTTTTTTACTTATTTTTTTTTTTATTGCAAAGAGATACAATATACAATATAACAGCTGTAAGACATTTTACAGCAAATTCTTCAAATTAAATTCCCTCAGGGAAAGTAAACTAAAGCAACACATCCCTTTACATGATCTTTCATTAATAAAAAAACTGTTCAGAAGTAACCAGGCCATTAATAAAATCTGTAGTGTTTAGCCCTGAATATGTATAAAATTTTATCTTAAAAAGACCTAAATTTGAAAAACAAAAAAAGTTATTTGTTATTATTAGCATTTTCCCCGCCCAACCTAATTAAGCTTAATATGTACATTGTATTGTTTTATCCTCGTCCTTGACTAAGACTTTTAACCTCAAGTTATTAGTATGAAATATGAATATAGTTTTAATATAATAAAATATGAACTGTGAATTACTTAAAATAAAATATAGGAAAATGTTTTTAAAGATAAAACAGTGATGTACACATTTTATAAAATGTAAAATAAAAAAATGTATATACATTTTTTATGCACAACAGCTCTATCACAAGTTAATATTTGTTTTCAGTAAAAATTAGGTTTGAAATGTAGCAAATTCAACTGGCTAAATACCACGTTTTTCAGTCAAGCTGTAAGACTTTTGTTTGGCAAAAAGACTTTTGTTAAAAAAAAAAACTGACAAGATTTGTTATGTTTTAAGGATGCTATTATCAGAATACACAATTGGAAATGACATGCTAGAAATGTTCATGAACGTTAACATCTGAATTAAAATTAAATGTCGTCTCACAGCAAGAAGGTTGCTGGTTCGAGCCTCGGCTGGGTCAGTTGGCATTTCTGTGTGGAGTTTGCACGTTCTCCCCGTGTTCACATGGGTTTCCTCTGGTTTCCCCCACAAGTCCAAAGACATGCGCCATAAGTGAATTGAATAAGCTAAATTGTCCATAGTGTATGTTTGTGAGTGTATGGGCGTTATCCAGTGATTGGTTGCAGCTGGAAGGGCATCCGCTGTGTAAAAAATAGGCTGAATAAATTGGCGGTTCATTCCACTGTGGTGACCCCTGATTAATAAATGGACTAAGCCAAAGAAAAATGAATGAGTTACATACAATTACAAGATTTTTATGTATGTAAGATACAGAATGCTAATAAACAGAATAGACATCTGGAAATGACATGCTGGAAATGTTCATGAACGGCAACATCCTCAGTAAAATTAAATGAAATAATATGAAAAACCATAATAAAACTATAATTTGCATTTTCAAAACTGAAATCTAAGCAAAGAATGAAAAATAAAACAGTATTTTACACAAATTTAGCTGTAGCTAGAAGATTTAGTGCCCTCTAAAAATATTGATGTGGGCTCCTAACAACCTTCTAATGTATTATATTTTAATAAATATATCCCTAAAAGAGTAATGTTGTACTTAAATATGTCATCAGCAGGCAGTGCTTAGCATAATGTCACGTTTTTATGCATAAGCTCTTTATTCAATAAATATATCGCTTGTGACATGTGCCGTGACGATGCATAAGAGAGAGGAGAAAAAAATGACAGTGCCTGCCTGGAACCAGTAGATGGTACTTTTCCCACGAATGTAAATCAGGCAGCGAAATGACAATATGCTACATTAAACTGGCATGACACATAAGGGGTTTGTAACATAAAGAACATCTTAAGGGACTGGGATACAGAAGCTCTTCTGGCCCTCCTCATTTTCCTCTCATAGCGCTTCTGACTAATACCCTGATTTATGTTTTTCTTTCATGTTAATCAGTCCGTCAGTCCTACTCATCCACCAAGTTCATCTCTAACTTTAATCAGTCAACACTGATTGGTCCTATTCACAATCTTGGAGACTTACAAATTTATTTTGTTCCTCAGATGTGCCTGTATAATTTATGAATATTCTGTATCAGACTAAACCATTTTTATGGAGGGGTCTGCTTTATGGAGCAGATATTTGTAAAACATTTCATCAATTTGCATGTTTCTGTTGTTTTTTAATCTCTGGCTCACAATAAATAAAAATATTCTAAATATCCTTAGAACAGGGACCTATATCGCAGAACTCCTGGATTTTGTGAGACCCCCGGGGCAGTGGGCAGTGTTGCCAGATTAAGTAGTTTTGAATTTGATTGTGCAGGTAAAAAATGTTTCAGGCATGTTGATAAAAGTTGGGTGGTATTGTTAACTAAACTTTATATGCTACTTATTTAACAAAACATAACAGTGTGCTCCTACTCCATTCAGTTAGTAGTGACCAGGGCATAGTGCAAACCGTGTGGGCCCATTCTCAGGAGGAGGTGAAGGAAAGTTGTATCAAAATCTGACTCCCCAGACAAATCTGACTGCAGTTAAACTCACATCAGTTTATCATAACACTTTAATCTATCATTTCTATCTGCAATTGACAGCAAGAATAAAACAGAATTGTTGTCTGATTGACGAGCAGCACCTAATTATGTTCAAAAGAATTTAAAACGCCAAATGGGAGAAATTTATAGCCCATTTCAAAAGCAAAAGATACTCTAAAAGGTAGTGTAATCTACACAACATTTAGTGCAGTATGTAGGCTGATTTGTACTTCTGCGTCAAGCGCATGCGTATGCTCCAGTGCAGCCTACGCATGGACACACAGCCCTCGTCGTGGCCGTCGACAACGCTGACGCGCACCTCTCAAAAAATTTAACTACATGTCACAACGATGCATAGCGCAAGCTTTGAGGTCGGTCGGCTTGGTAGCGCTGACCAGTGTGGGTGGAGGTGAGAGCCACGTGAGCCTGATGGAACGACTGTTTACAAGTGTGGAGTCCCGTGAAGGAGCTCCTGATGGAGACGTTTGTTTTGTGTTTACCTTATGATTAAAGTTGTTGCACGTCCGCCGGTTCCTGTCTCAAAATGAGCCAGTTTGAGTCACTTTTACATTAAGGCAGCGTTCAGAAAAAAAAAAAACACCAGCGAAGAAACTCGAGTCAGAGGAGCATAAACACTTACTGGCAGCTAGCGTTACGGAAGTACAGGTGGCCAGACTGAGGACCATCAGCAAGACTATAATCCATGTTCTAAATAAAAGCAACGGCCTGCGATAGAAGGAATATTCTCCATATTAAAAGGAGTTTTTGTCCTAACACCTTGAATTGATATATTAGAAATGGCTTTATTTCTCACAGGTGAACAACCGGATAAACTGATCACCTCAGGTACACCTCATGTGCTTTATTCAGTGTTTAAGGCTAACAATGTGAGTTTGACTGCCATTTTACATGACATTTATTGCCATATACTGAAAGCAGCTGCAGATACTCACCTCTTGAAAATAAAATAAAATTGAATATGAAATTGAACTTTAGATCTGTGAAATAATGCAAACCAACACATATCAGTGATTCAGCATGTACATTTTAAAATGTTAAAGAGGTGTAATATTTATTAATTAGATCATAAAAAAACTAATTCTGGCACGTAACGCACATTTTCTGCGTTGTTTTTCAGATAAACTAGAATGTTCGCTTGGCATGTTTCTCACAGTAAACATCTGCAAACCTATTATGGTACTTTAATGCTTTTATGCTATAGAAGAGTCAACTTACATACAGCACATTTAAAGTAACTAGGTTCATTTTAATTTAAATAAAATTTAATTAAATATTAATCTACTATTTTGGGTGTTTTTTTGGTGCATTTGGGCAGGATTTGTACCATTTTTGGGCTGGAAAAATTCAGCTACTGTATATCAACACTGGCAGTGGGGTTCCCTATAATTGTCACCACCTTTCACCCCACTAGCGACGACCCTGCTTACACAACATCTGTCTGTCAGTGTTTGTCATTTTTGCCACTTATAAAGTTTCCTTTAAAAATCTACTGTTTACCATGGACACAAACATGTCAATAAAGAGTGTTTGACATGCGGCGTGAAAGAAAACAATGAACACAAACAGAATATTTTATTGTCATTTTCAGTCAAGCTGTACATTCCACAAAAACCTGACAGTATTTTTGTGTGTATGTTTGTTTTGGATACATAAAGACTTAGCAAGACAAATGATGCCCACTGTTGGACACTGTTAGTAGACAAATGAAACAAACTAGCAAGAGGATGGAAAGTGTTTTACCAGAGCAGCTCAAAGTGCCCGTAGATAAAGAATTGTCAGAGTGTGTGTGTTTGTTTCCTGGAAGAACGAAGAAAAAAAGAGGAACTGCAGAAGAATCTGGAACACAGAAGAAAAGCCATCCAACTTCCTGACCCTGGAGTCCAAATGGATCAGACATCTGTGTGTGTGTGTGTGTGTGTGTGTGTGTGTGTGTGTGTGTGTGTGTGTGTGTGTGTGTGTGTGTGTGTGTGTGTGCATGCTCATGTTCTGCTTATTCTCAAACCCTTCCTGCCTCTGTTATGTCCAAGCGCTAATATGATTTGCTCCTCTGAGCTCCTTTGTCTTCTCCGTCCTGTGTAAACAAGAATGTGAGCTTTTAAAAGTCATCCAGCGACATCAGAGCCCAAGCCATGAAAAAAAGGCTCCCAATCAAGGCACACTGGCAAGGCAAAATGTCAAACATCAACAGCTGTCCAACATAAACACGCTCTATGTTGAGCTGATATTACAGTCCGCATGGGAGGTTTTACATTCCTGTCCGGCCCAACTAACATGCTGCGACTGCTGATGTTTAAAGCTGTTTGAACACGTTTACTGACTTACTGTCGTCTGCATCATTCTAACTGTTTATTGTGCATCTTTTTTCTGTCTCTTTGTTGCTCCTTCTTTCTGTCTTCTCTCAACTTCCTGCCTCCATTTCTGTCTCTCTCTATCCTTTTTCTCTCTGTTTATGGATGTTGTAGGTACCATGGCTAACCATCTCATCTCCAATGCTTTGTTACGTCCTCATGGCACTAATCCTTATAACACACTACTGGGAGAGTCTGCTGTGTACAATAACCCTACTGCCAACATGTTCAACACCCAAGGTTTGCCTTTCACATACACATTCACAAGCTGCAATTCTGTCTCAGAGTGACAACTGTGAAGGGAATCTGGCGGGTCTCCTTTAAAAAAAAGTGTTCATTTTTGCAGTTAAAGCAAAAATAACCTTCTGTCTTCATTTTTTTTAAATGCACAAATTATTTGGATAGACATTTCTCAACTAATTGCTCCATTCTATATGGTAAAAGTAAAATGGGACATACAGTATTTGAAATATGCTGTAAGATATTAATCATTCGTATTTAATTATTTGTAGTTTTATATATTTGTGTAAATGTTCCTATTATAAAAGTGTACATGAAGATTTTCGATGCAAAATCCTTTAAAATGCCTTCTAAAATGAGCATTTTGTGTGTTGGCTCAGTAATTTTACTTGTGCAGTAACAAATAAGGTATTTTCATTGCATTTAAAGTGAAATAACACAACATAGTAGGCTGGAAAAACGCCTGATTTTAGAAGAAAATTTCAGACTTCATTTAAAGGTTTTTGCTTTGCGATTTATTAAGATTACATTTCCTTGGATTTTACGTTTTTAATAATAATGATATTTTACACTAGTTTGTATTGTAAATATCACTTGAATTCATGGCAATTGGACATATTAAACAGTATACTACACTCAAAAATACTTTAGATTAAATGAAATAACAATTTTGAGTTTTTTGGGGGTAAAACATAACCGTTTTATGTTCAATTCACTTAAATTTGTGAAAACTAATAAATTAACTTAATTATTTCATGTTGTCCCAACACAATTTAATGGTGTGGAACCTAATGCACTTATACACTACCTGACAAAAGTCTTGTCATCAATCTCAGTTGTAAGAGCAACAAATAATATCTTCACTTCTTGTTGATCATTTGAAAGTGGCAGAAGGTAGAATCATCTGTCGAACTGCATCCCAAACATCACAGACTCTCATAGAAATCAGTCAAGTTTGTGAAGAAAAAAATCATGGTTTGGGGTTACATTCAGTATGGGGGCGTGCAAGAGATTTGCAGAGTGGATGGTAACATTAACAACCTGAGGTATCAAGACATTTATGTTGCTCTTCACCTTGCAAACCACATGAGAGAGCAAAATCTTCTGCAGGATAGTGCTCCTTCTCATACTTCAACCTTCACATCAAAGTTCCTGAAGGCAAAGAAGGTCAAGGTGCTCCAGGATTGGCCAGCCCAGTCACCAGGCATGAACATTATTTAGCATGTGTGGGATAAAAAGGAGGAGGCATTAATGATGAACCCAAATAATCTTGATAAACTCTGGGAGTCCTGCAAGAACGCTTTCTTTGCCATTCCAGATGACTTTATTAATAAGTTATTTAAGTCATTGCAGAGATGTACGGATGCAGTTCTCCAAGCTCATGGGAGTTGTATTAATTTTTTTTCCACTGCACTATGACTTTATATTCTATACTGTACATTATTTCTCTTAAGTGACAAGACTTTTGTCTAACAAAGTCGGACCTTACTGTCCTAAAGAAATCATTAAAAATGATCAAGGCATGATTATATTTTATTTTGGTAATATAAGCATTTTCTAGAGGCATTTGCCTTTCATATAAGCCACTTCTGATACCAAATGATCAACTACAGTAGAAGTCATGTTATTATTTGTTGCTCATAAAACTTGGATAGGTGACAAGGCTTTTGTCATTTAGTGTATTTACTTTTTTATTTAATTATATTTATTAAAACAACTTTTATGTTAAAAATCTCCTAAAGTACCTATAACCAGTCAAATTAATTGATTATTTATTCATAATTCAGCTGTAAATCAAAGTTGTGCTTAGAGTAATTGTACATGGTCCTGTGTAAATAAAAAATGCAGTTAATTCTTTGTTTTTGTTTTCTAAAGGCAACAAATAAAGCCTTTGGATGATTTTTTTTTTCTTTTTTGCTGTGATTTCTAGTAAAAAAAAATGTCTGTTCATTTTTTTTTCTATATCATTCTGTGTTTTTAATTTAACTCTGTTCTGCATCCTGTTGTTACCTTGGGAAATAAAAAGCGTAAAAACTTCCTCAGACACAGTTCTGTCTGTACACATGCTTCAATACAGACACCCGCTTTCAAAAATAGCTAGGAAATCCATATTTCCTGTGTCTGTTTAATGAGCTTGTTTATGTTGTTTCTATGTCCATCTGTTCTGTTTAATAATTTGGTGGTAAAGGAACATTTCAGCTTAGCATCTGTCCTAAACTCAGCAGGTTAGCGTTCAGTCACTAATGGCCGTCACAGCCTGAGCTGAATATAATACTTCTCCCTCTCTCTCTATGGACGTGTTCCATAAGCATTTATGTGTGTAATCATTCTCTCTCTTTCTCTCTCCTTTCATGCGGGTCTGCAGCCTCCTACAGAGATTCAAGTATGATTCATTTACTTTCACAACAGCTCCACGTTTATAATATATTCTCCTTTGCGTCTCTCTTCTTTAATCTTTCCCTATTTCTTATCCCTCCCATTCCCTCCTCTGCTCCTTCCCCCGTTAAACCCGCATCCCTCCTGTATTCATCTGTTTCGCTTTTGATAAACGTTAATATCCTATTTGATAGCATCTTTCATGAAGCACACCGTATAGTATATGAACTGATTCATATTACAAGCAATCATAAATAGGGTGTGTGCAAAATATTTAGGTACGCTTTAGTTTTAGCTGTTATTGTGTAATTATTAAATTTTAAGGAATATTATTAGACAACACACAGTTTAGTCAAAAACAAGCCAATTTTAGTAAATGTAAATAATGATAATAATTAAAAAATATATATATATACAGTTGAAGTCAGAATTATAAGCCTCCCTGAATTATTAGCCCCTTTGTTTATTTTTCCCCCAATTTCTGTTTAACGGAGAGAACACATTTCTAAACATAATAGTTTTATAACTCATCTCTAACAACTGCTTAATTTTATCTTTGCCATGATGACAGTAAATAATATTTGACTAGATATTTTTCAAGATACTTCTATACAGCTTAAAGAGACATTTAAAGGCTTAACTAGGTTAATTAGGCTAACTAGGCAGGTTATGGTAATTAGGCAAGTTGTTGTATAATGATGGTTTATTCTGTAGACTATTAAAAACAAATATAGCTTGAAGGGGGCTAATAATTTTGACCTTTAAATGGTTAAAAAAATGATAACTGCTTTTATTCTAGCAGAAATAAAACAAATAAGACTTTCTCCTGAAGAAAAATATTATCAGATATACTGTGAAATTTTCCTCGCTTTGTTTAACACCATTTGAGAAATAGTAGAAAAAAAAAAATCAAAGGGGGTTAATAATTCTGACTTTAACTGTATATTTTGTGTGTGTGTATGTATAATATATATATATATATATATATATATATATATATATATATATATATATATATATATATATATATATATATATATATATATAGTTGAAGTCAGAATTATTAGCCCCCCTGAATTATTAGCGCCCCTGTTAATTTTTTTCCCCCCAATTTCTATTCTGTTTTGGGAAGATTGTTTCAGCACATTTCTAAACATAATAGTTTGAATTACTCATCTCTAATAACTGACTTATTTTATCTTTTCCATGATGACAGTAAATGATAGTTGACTAGATATTTTTCAAGACACTTCTATACAGCTTAAAGTGAAATTAAAAGGCTTAAGTAGGTTACTAAGGTGAACTAGGCAGGTTAGGGTAATTAGTCAAGTTATTGTATAACGATGGTTTGTTCTGTAGACTATCGGAAAAAAAATTAGCTTAAAGGGGCTAATAATTTTGTCCCAGAAATGTTTTTTAAAAAATTAATAACTGCTTTTATTCTAGCCGAAATAAAACAAATAAGACTTTCTTCAAAAGAAAAAATATTATCAGATTTATATATATATATATATAGATAGATAGATAGATAGATAGATAGATAGATAGATAGATAGATAGATAGATAGATAGATAGATAGATAGATAGATAGATAGATAGATAGATAGATAGATAGATAGATAGATAGATAGATAGATAGAAAATGTTAAAATAGAGATGAAATGTTCCATCATCATTCAGCATAACAGACTAAAGCAACATTTTATCTAAAAATCAAACTATATTTTAGTACTTAAAATTTTAATACAACACTTGAATTAAACATTCTTATTCTGACAGGTAATTATTAAGATGTATAAAGGAATAAGTTATCATAATCAATAATATATCATAACATTATTATATTTTAAATGATTTAATGCTTCCTGACAATGTGCAATAGCAGGTGGCTTAAAGAATTAAGTATAACTCATACATATTTAAAATGACCATTAATTGGGATAAGAATAAGTTTTTTATCATTTTATCATTTCAGTTACAAATTTATTCACAAGTTTTTTCAGCATAAACTAGTCAAAATATTTCAATGCTATTGCTACATTGAATGCCATTCAGTGGGTGTTTTCTCTAAAACTCTATTATAGTCATTGATATTAACTCCAAAATAAAAACAACATTAATCATATCTTTTGTTTAGTTATAAAAGATAATTTTTTATAGATTATAAAATTAATACATTTTATTATTTCTTTAAATTCTTAAAAAAAAATAGTTTTTCATATTTTACCTCTTTACTGTAGGGTTAGACATAGATCTGGTTTAGGAATTGTTGCAAGAAATTATAAATAGTCTTCTGGTATTTCTACATCAAGTACATATCATAAGGACATCATGAAATGAATCTCATAATTTCATTATGTATCTGCCAGATGTATTTTGCTAATGAGGTTAAGTGTGATTGTAATTTGTGTATTATTTCCCGTTGCAGAGGGCATTCTCAACAACGCACGGGACTCCAGCGTCATGGATACTCTGCCTCTTAATGGCAACCATGGCAACAGCTATGGTGTGGCAGCAGGAGATTACCTTACCTACAGTTCCCGTGGCAGCGAGCCACCAACTACGCTTGAGAAGAAGATCCTGAAAGAGCTGACGGCGAACTACGCTCCTTCATACCTGAACACACAGGAGCGACAGGGAAAAGCCCACCAGGGCACCCTGACAAATAAACTCAACAACCATCTGGCCAACGGAGGCGTCGCCGGATCTTCGTCCATCCCCAAAGACGATGTCATGGTGCTCGACAACCCTGGAGCGTTTCACCGGCATGATGACGGGGGTGGGTTAAGTCTGGAACTCATTCGGGAGGAGTCACAAGCTCCGCTCTTGCCACCGCGACCGCCCCCTCCTGAAAACCACGCCCCCTTGCACACGTTCACTGCCCATCGGCGCCTCCCACAGGAGAACAGCGAGAGCTTTTTCCCCCTTCTCCCCAATGACACACACTCTTCCCACACACACACTCCCCGTGCGCACACACACTCTCCCCTCAGAGACTCGCTTTATACCAGCATGCCCACGCTCACCGACCTCCCGCACGGCACTGATGACCTCATCAACGGTCTCCATGACGATGAAGACGAAGAGGAGGAAGAAGACGGTGAGGAGGAAGAGGGCAGCGAGCTGCACTTGGCCAACGGCAAAGGGGTCATCATGGAGTCGGACGACGTGTACTACAAAAGCATGCCCAACCTGGGCTCCAGGAACCACATACAGGAACTAGAGAGCTACTATCAGATGGGACGTGGCGGCAGTGACGGGTTCATCGCCCCACCTGAGAAAGAAGACTCGTCGCCTGAAGAACAGCCACCAGATCCTTCACAACTGGTCACCAGCCTATAGACACTGACGCACGCGCACACACATCGTCACTCAGCGCGTGTGTGTGAGTGTGACACAATGCACAAGGCATGGGATACACTACCTACTGCACTGATAGAGAGACTGATTCCAGAAAGCCCCACAACTCCAGTTCATACAAGCCACCAAAATCCAGCTCCAGTTAGAACCAGTAACCAGAACTAGTAACCCATTCCTACGCTAGAACAAGGACTACCGCATGTAGGCAGGTCTCATAGACCTTTTTTCTTGTCAATTTCGTTGGAAATCCGCTGAGTAAAACCCTTTTAAAATCTGGAGACGTGGACAAACTTTTGCTCCCTTGATCATTTGCTCTCCTCGACCTTCATCCAGCGGCCGCGTGATTTTCCTTGAAGCTCTCCGTGGATAGCAGAGAGCCTGTAAACAGACTACGGAAAACTAGCTGCCATTTTAGATGACCGTGTATGATAATGAGACCACCGACCTAGACTCTGAACTGCATAAAACCCACAACAACTCTCTAGACTTCTCTGTGATTCTCTGCTGCACACATTCCTTCTCGTTTAGCACCGATCCGGAAGTCATCTAATCTTCAAAACCGAGGACGCATCTTGTTTTCTTACGTTTATTTTTCAGTAATAATCTCAGTTATGGGAAAGGTAATCTTCACTAAATACAAACAAATGGAACATTTTGTCCATGTAAAATGTACAGATTCCCGATATTGCATATGATCGTATGCGTTTCATGTTTTCGACATATTTTGCCCCCTGTATGTGTTTTTGTAGACTAGACCAATCCCACAATGCTGTGCCGGTCCTCCAGAATACTATCCCTTAAAGACACAGCACACGTATCGACATACACACTCTGGTTTGAAAGGATGACCATGCTTCCTTCTTTATTTTTCGTTCAAATGCAACACTTTGTTATTGTAACTCTCACTGTGTCGATGATAACCAAGAGACTCTGGGAAAGTGGCTGTTTCGTGATTGGAAGCTATTGCAGATGGGATCCCAATGATGCTGGAATGTCGTCATGTCACGAATACCAGAGTGTTTACGCTTGTACATGCCACCTTTTATAAGAGCAGGAATTCCAGATACGTGTGTGTTGGCACAGCTAAAAATGTTCTCAGGCTAAAAGATGGTCTGTTTTTGTGACATATCGAGTCTGTTTTTAACGGTTTAATCAACATAGAAAGAGAAGCTAGTGAGGTGAAATCGCAAACGAAAGTGTGGTCTGGGGAAATTGTGATTAAAAATCATGCGTGAACTCATAAAATAACCATGTAAAAGAACAGACTAGGAATTCAGCGGAGTTGTTTTGGAAAATGGAAACAACCTTGTAAAGGTCGGTTTCTGAAACTACTGTTTACTTGTTCTCAAACTGAGACTCCCTGTAGCTTGCACATCTATCCCTTGTTAACCCACCCCGAGAAAAATTGACTGCATATTTATTCCTGTGATTCAGTCTTGTTTTTTTATTATTATTATTTGTTATTTTTCCAACAGATCAGAAATGTAGGATCTTAGAGAGCGTCGGGAAAAGAAACGAATCAGCACTGAGACCTTTTTTTATTGTTATTATCATCAATATTATTATTACAATATCAATGAAATTATTATTTATTCTTTTCATATGCATTCTAAACTGAATGAACTCATAACTAATATTTGTTGTAACAGTGAAAGTTGTTTGCCAACAAATAAAATGACTGAATTAATATTTACAATATTTCACAGGGGAGCGGTGTGAGTTTCTGCTTCTTTTTAATTCGATTTTTCAATTATGCAGCGGCGGGACGAGGAGCGGTCATGACTCCTCTGGGCAGTTTTTCAGGGAAGGATTGTCATGGAGTAAATTGTACTGTGGATTGTGATTCTCTGTTGAAAATCCTGTTGGACTAGACTTAATCTCTGTCTGGGAAAGCAGCCGGAAGACTTTAGCAGTCCTTCATTCTATATCGTGACCCAGTTTCGGAACCGGCACCCAATCAAACGAGCTCGGTACCAATTAATTATGCACATCTGAGAAGAGCGCCAGCACAAACAGTGTAATTACGACCTATTGATTTCCATGTCTTTCCATGCAAACAGACACACGTCCGTCTGCAAACACGCCCAAATGTCAGACAGCCTGCGTGTGTGTGAGTGTGTCAGGGAGAGTTCGCTCTGCCAAATGTTACCACCTTCATGAATATTTATAGGCCGTTTTGACAGGCACTTGAGTATTTGAAAGGAAGGAAAGATGCAGTTTTCCCCCCCAAGCAGAATATATAGCTCCGTACTCTAGAGCCCTGTCCTGCCTTTCACATGAGTGTGTGTCCTGTGGGCCGCCTATGAGATTGAAAAGTTGATTTTTAAGAGAAAAATATGTTCACCATTCAAACTTTTACAGCATAGATGTCACCCGAACTGAGAAAAGTTTGCTTATGACAACACCGAAAGAGTGAGGGGGAAATGATTTAGACAAGTGGTTCTCAAACTCTTTTTTTCAAGGTCCCCCAAAGGGTCCAACACAATATTTGAAAGGCATCCACACTGGATAATATATTTCCTCTGGTATTTGTGCTGTAATTATGGCAATGCTGCTTGTCCTCAAACTTTTTATTAGCAGAAATTTAGAGTTCTGATATATTAAAATCAACTGACAATGCATCATTTTTAAATCACAATTATGATTTATCAAAAACAAAGTTGATTTGCATTTTTTGTGTATAAAAATAAATCTAATTTGTACTTACATTAAAAATCGACTTTATTTTTTTTTACACATCAATTAATCAGTAAATTTAATTTCATTTATGTTGTGACACAAGATTAAATAGAATCTCAGAAGATTTAAAGATTAAAAAAAAATGTTTTTTTTTTTATATAGTTTTTCTCAATTGCTTTGACTCAAATCTCATTGTACACAATAAATTTAGATCTCTGAACAATTAGCTTATTATTCACATCAGATTGGCATTTCTTATTGATTTAAGCAAATTGCTAATTCTTTGGCACATGTGTGCAAACAGTAAGTACAGTTGTCTGTAGTTTGGACAAAAACTAATTGCATATGACTTAGTGATCAACATTTATGAGTTAGTTCTCATTTAAACTGTCAAACTTCTCACAACTTCTCAATCATTTTTTATCGTATAAACCATCACACACAAAACTATTTATTCAATTATCAAACATTTGTAAATGCACATTTACACCATAAAAATTCTGATAAAATTGGTCTGCTAAATTGGTTAATCCCCTCTTGTGATTTAAACCATACATACAAACTATATATATATACACACACACACATACACGCAGTAGACAGAGAGAGACAGAGACGTGTATATATATATATATAGACATACAGTCATACATAATCACTACATTCACAATCCTTGGAGGGAGTGTAATCTCTGGCAAGAGCAACAGGATGTCCACCAAGAATAATCTTTTTTCATGGATGCTATTTTGTAGTTTTTTGTGTGTGTATTTGTGGTACCAAAAGTAATATGAAGTATACAATAGAGTAATTGGACAAGCAAGATTGTGCTTTGTATGTAATACAGTTATACAAATGTACTGTATAAATTCAAATGTTCATTTATTATTATTATTTCTGTGTAATATTCACTCTTCTTAACAAATAGCAGATTTTTTTAACCCTAATTTTGATGGTTAACTGTCATGATGAAAAAACAACTAATCCTTTTGAGCAGTGTGGCTCACACGATGACAAATACACTTTTTGTTTTGGTGGCATTGACCTAAATACTGACAAAATAACTATGTTTTGAAGCATGAATCAAATGTTTTGGGTGGGTAACTATATTTTGCAGACATGCAATGAAGTTTTGGTTCAAGAAAACTGTTTTAAAAAATTTGCCAAAGCAATTGAGAAAAAAAAACTGTAACGAAATGCCCATTTTTAAACATGCAGTTGGGTTTAGATCAGGACTCTGGGCTGCTATTTCCAGTGTTGGGAAGTAACTAGTTACATGTAACGGCGTTACGTTATTTAATTACAAAATAAAAGTAGCAGTAATTTGTTACAGTTACTGAGAAAAATGGGTAATTAAATTACAGTTACTTGTTAAAATGTTAAAGATTACAAATGGGGTTACATCTAAAACATTTCTTTAAAAATCTGGGATATGTTGAATAATATTAATCTGTTGCTTTGTCTGTTTTTGATTTGCATGATGCCTTCTGCTAAGGCTATTTTTTAGAGCGGTGCTATTCTGATGCTTTTGATTTGCTGCACACCCACCGTTATAAATCCCAGGGGAACATGTCCTCCCTATAAATGCTTGAAAATGATTTAGTTGAAAATGTCCATTAGAAATTTTAAAGTAATCAAAAAGTAATCAAATGTAATTAGTTACTTTACTTTTAGAAAGTAATCGGAAAGTGGTGTAACTTATTACATTTTAAATAGGGTAATTTGTAATCTGTAATCTATTACGTTTCCTAAGTAACATCCCCAGCACTGGCTATTTCATTTGCTTAGTACTTTCGAAAAACTGCATTAGCTGTTTAGCTGTATGACAGGGGACCTGTCCCTTATCCTGCATGATGGATGCTGACTGATTGGGTGATGAACACAGTAAAGGAACCACATGATGCCAAAGGATTCACTGATAAACATTTGCATTGACACTATTTGTGTCTGTACAAAATGCCAAACTCATGCTGCAGAAAACATCCCCAATGCGCCACAATACAAATCTTTCACTGACTTCTGCAAACACTTGGAGTTTAGTCTTTCCCCAATTTCAGAATGAACACTGCGTTTCCCCATCGAACCCAAATAAATTCACTGAAATGAACTTTTGACCAGTTCTCTGTCCACACAACATGCTCAAAGAATTTTCTAATGTAAATCACAGACTTGGAATGAATTCTCTTGCTTTGCCTAAAATAATTATTTTTAAGCTTCAACTGAACAGCCTATACAGTTGTAGGGTTTTATTCAGAAAGAATGAAAATCATCATATGCAATTGTTATAATTCTCTTTTTCACCAAAAAGGCGTAAACATTTTCCAAAGCAGAAGTGTAGAGAACAGTTATGGCTTGGTTGAGATTTGTGCGGATTTCAGGGGGTTTTAAGGTGTGGTTTCATATTAATACAACTCTTCATTGGTCAGTCTGAATGTCTCACTACTCGCTTTGGTCACATGGTCAAAGAGGAGACAAAACTTCTCTGACTCCCCTGCTATCTGTCTCTGTCTCTTTTCCTCTTTCTCGTGTAACTTATTTATATTTAAGCTAGGTAATTAATAATAAATGTTTTTATCGTGTCTTTTATTTTGTAACTAATTCAGTGTAACCATAGCAAATTATTGTTTTGTAAAATTGTATTTTGTAAGTATTCTGTGAATTACATTTGATTTAACTTTAACACTTAATTGCTCTGTATATTGCAATTCTTCACCTAATAGCAAGGCTCTCCCACATAATCATTTTAACTGCACTTCATTACATTTTTTTTTTTTGTATAAGAGTGCAGAAGGATTGACTAGAAATATAGTTGAATCCCCATTTTTACAATTCATTTTAGAACGGCTTAGCATCTTGCAAAATCAGTGAAACTGTAACATTAGACTGGCAGTTAAATAACCGTAGGATAATTAAGATTACTGTGCATATTTTAGATGACAATAATTATTTTTTAAATGTAATGTTTTTTAAAGAAAAGTTTTGTGGAATTAAAAAGTGCATTTATACAGCTGTATTTTCCTTTTTTGACACATTAAATTTGTGGCTAAGAAAAACTTATTTGGTGTGGTCAGAGATAAATTTAGTAAATCCCTAATTTTGAGCCCTGAAAAGTCGTGACATAAAAACTGATTGCATTGGGACACAACCCATTTGGTTGTGCACACTGAGCAAGCTAATACACAACACACACAAGAAGTTAAATAAATGAGAAGGTATGTGGACAAAACAAAACATCTAAATCCAGTCATTTTAGCATGTCAAAGTCAAATTTATGCATATACAATATTTTTTTCTATCAAGGAAAGTGTGACTAGTGAAAATGGCGAGTGGCGAGTAATGTTTGAAATCTACTAGCCACAGTGGCTGGTGATCAAAAAAGTTATTGTCAACCCCTGGTTATGACCCTTCATGAACGGCTAAATACTGCTTGTCATACGCGGACACGATCTCACCCAGTCATTGGGTCACAGCTTAACAGGTCTGCCTTGCCTTCGGAAAGCATGTGCTCTCATTAATAATTAAGAAGCAGGGTCTTTTCATAGGATAAGAAAACTCTGTTACAAATAATAATAAGAAACCTACGTTTCATCACTCCACTAGCAGATTCGCGATACGTCACCGATGTTGATCCCACCCCAATAATTATTTGCAGAAGAGGAAATTGGCTGACAAAAGCTCAAAAATATCCAGTTTTCCCCACAATTAAAGCTGACAGGTGCTAACGTTGTCTTAACTGATGCTCAACACACAAATCTGTAAAAAAATTTTTTAAGTACTCCAGGGTTTCTTAAACCTTTTGAGATAGCTTCAAATAGGACATAAGCAGTGACCTCAAATATATATATATATATATATATAAGTATTTGAAGTCATCCTATGAAACCTCTTGAAAAGTTTGCTGAGGCCCCCCAGTGGACCCTTGGCCCCTGGTCGAGCAGCAGTGATGGAGACAGATGGCAGAGACTACAGTCCTCTGCCTTGCCTCCTTCTTGTTCGCCTTTGTCTCAGGTTAATTAAATGAGACTGG